ATGCTCAATAGGGTTTAGGTCTGGAGACATGCTTGTTTATCTTGGTCTCATCAGACCACAGGATATGGTTCCAAAAATCCATGTCCTTAGTCTGCTTGTCGCAGCAAACTATATGTGGGCTTTTTTGTGCATCATCTTTAGAAGAGGCTTCCTTCTGGGATGCCAGCCCTGGAGACCAATTTAATGCAGTGTGCAGTGTATGATCTGAGCACTGACAGGCTGACCTCCCCACTCCTTCAACTTCTGCAGCAATGCTGGCAGCATTCATATGTCTATTTCCCAAAGCCAATCTCTGGATATGACGCTGAGCATGGGCACTCAACTTCTTTGGTTGACCATGGCAAGTACTGTTCTGAGTGGAACCTGTCCTGTTAAACCACTGTATGGTCTTGGCCACTGTGCTGCTGTTCAGTTTCAGAGTTTTGGCAATCTTCCTATAGCCTAGGCCATCTTGATGTAGAGCAACAATTCATTTTTTCAGATCCTCAGATAGTTCATTACCCTGAGATGCCAAGTGGAATTTCCAGTGACCAGTCTGAGAGAGTGAGAGCGGTAACACCTACTCCCCCTTCACATCTGAGACTTTTGACATTAACGGGTCTCATGACACCAGGGAGGGAAAACGGCTACTTGGGCCCAACTTGGACATTGTCACTTAGGGGTGTGCTCACTTTTGTTGCCAGCGGTTTAGACATTAATGGCTGTGTGTTGCATTATTTTGAGGGGACAGTTAGTGAGAAATAACTCACCCTGAAACGTTTGTGGGGGAAAGGGGGGAAAGTTTCATTGCTTACAGTTGTGAACAGATCAACAGCAAACTAACAGCCAACAGATGAAAGAGAGGGAAAGAGAACAGTTGGCAGAAGGGCTCTCTTTGAATGCAGAAGAGGGAAGAAATGATTGGTTAGTGATGGACAGATTGGCAGTTACCCCCAGCCCAGAAAGCTCCCTCCCAGTCACACCTACTAGAAGCAGTATGCAAGGTTTATTTCTCCTTGAAAGGATCCATAGAATAGTGAAGTTGGAAGGGTCCTATGAGGCCATCAGGTCCAACTGCTTGATGAAAGTTGGCCTACATTATTTATACAATATTAAGGCCAACAACAGTGACTATACAAATACTAATAAGGATCAAACAAACACCATTAAAAAAAACAAAAGCAACACCAAAACATATTCAAATCAGTAAGGTACAATAACCTATTTAAAAATGCTACTCAGGCAGCCAGCCATTCAGGGAAAGTTTGCATGAGGTTATAAAAAATCCAACAATATAATGTATTTTTAGTTATATATTCACTAATATAATCAGTTAATCTTCACTTTCAAATGTACACTGTATGTTTCTTCTGCGCATTTTTTTAATATTGAAGAATTTCATTGCAAAATTTGGAGAGGAGTGAATTTCGACAGAGAATTGTGTTTTGGTTAGTTCAAAGGTGCAACATTAGGCAGATCTCAATTAAAATGTGACTCCAACAAATCTGTCCCTCATTCTCTGCATTTTTGCTTTAGAATGTGAACCAAACAAATGTCTTCCTTTCCCCCAAAGTACAATTCCACTGAGTAGATCTACATGGGATGCCTAGATGAAGCTCATTTACAACGAAGCAGCTCAACGCAGATTGCCCATTGGACTTCTTTCGTCCTCAGTGTTTATGAGAAGCAAAACACAGCCAGCCTGGGGCAATTTTGTGAAGTAGATAAATGTGTTAAAATGAAAATTAGAGGAAGAGAGGGATAGTGGTGGATGATATTTCTGAGAGCTCTTGAGAAGGCTTTTGCTTCTCACTTACTGTTCTGTCTCTTCTGATGAGACACTTTCCTCCCTGCACAGCTGTTAAATACTGATTCTTTAATCAAGTCACCAAATTGCTTAAACCTCTGCAGTGTGCACTTACAGAACTGGAACCTAACTGAAGTAATAAACAGCAAGCAATAAACAGTCTTGGCACTCAAAGTCCATGTGTTGATAGGATGCTGCATGAATGGGTAGAGAGCGTGATATGCTACAATTCCCTGAACCTTCCAACCAGCATGCTGGCAGCTGGGTTCTGGGAAGTGTGAACCATAAATTTAATTTTTTTTCTAAGACCTAGACAGGGGCCAGTACAGTCAAGAATGAATGCTTCAATGTACATAGCATGAAGGACAGTTTTCAGAAGTTTGATATCAGAAAATATTGTACTAGAACTCCCTTTCCAATGGATTTCAATGAAAATAAAAAGAATTAGGTTTTCATAGTCCCCAATCTGTCGTTATTCATTTGGGATCATTTGTCATTGGTTCCCTTCATTCAATGCAAGTAATAACTTTTCAGCTCATTAAGAATATTGTACACGTTAAATAATTATAGACTTTCTGGAGCTGATCAAAACATCTGTTAATGTGACTTCAGGTGGGCATATTCATTACTTGATTAATATTTATAATACTAGTGATCAATACTGCAGTTCTTTGTTAGCGGCTCACTAGAACTTAATCATGAGTAAACGTATGTACATTTGGAATCCATGAAATGCATGTTTTTTGAAATTATGTTTAAACTTAGATTAGAAGTGACACACTGAGTTAATTGCTTTTTTTCTCTTTTTAATCAAAAACAGTTATTTTTATTTTTAAATCGTTTCATAACAATGAATCAAATATGGAAGGGCGCATAAACACTCCCATTTTACCCATGATAGCAAAACCATTATGTTGGGGTTTGTATGTGTGTTATGTGCTATCAGGTTGGAACCAATTTGTAGCAACTCTAATAGGACTTCCAAGGTACGTGAGATATTTAAAGAGTGGTTTCACCAGTTCCGCTCCCCCATGACCAAGTGCAGATTCAAAGCCTGTTCTCCAGAGCCCTAGTCCGTCACTCTGTCCACTACACCAAACTAGGAAACCATGTTGAGGTTTGGAGGCAGCCATTTGGGCTATCTTAGTGGTTCTTTGGTTACAATAGCAATATTGACCACAACTCATTTGTGGCATGCAGTGTTACTCATCATTCACAAGTACTGAGTAATGTGTTCACTCATATCAAATTGCTAGTCCCAGCTAAACTAGATACATTGAATAAATTGCTGAATAAATTGTGTAACTGTTAGTTACACAATGAAACTGTTCCAATGAAGCTGCTCCAGTTTGGACTAGCAATTAGATGTACAGTATGTCTTTAAAATTACTAATTACTAAAGTGCTGCTTTTTAAAATAATGACACCAAACTTTGGTTAAGTTATTTTCATAGGTGCCTTGATATGCAGCAGCTGGACTCTATGAAACTGGAACACAGTTGGTAGGGGAGAATTTGGCGGTGAGACCATAGCATTTTTGCGTGTGGTCTTCATGCCAGGGACGGTGCACCTTTGCCCTAGCACAAGGCATTAATCAACTCTTCCATAAGTAGAGGATGCCTTCTGCCTCAGAAATCTGTGCATGTGTGTTCTACATTGCATCTGTTAAATAGACTTATGTCATATGTCACGATGAAGGCATAATGGTTGGTGTGGCCCAGTCAAAGTTTGCAGTTCCAGTGGTGTTAACGAGGAATTGGGGGATGTGCTTAAAACAGTCCCGTGGATAAATCATGGAGCCTCAGAGCACATATCTCTGGCTCAACTCCACTTGCAGTAATGTATAACTCATGCATTGGTAAAACCCCTTTCAGATCAAAACCACTCTAAAAATGGCAGGAGGTAATAGAATGCTCCAATGATGTGCTTAGGGTGACCCTATGGCCTACTTTACAGAAGACATTCTCTAACTTAAGGTGTCCCTGCTCTATGAAGGTCCATTCAGGCCAAGCATTGTTTAATGACAGCCCTCTTTTTAGGTCCCACATAATTCTTTCTTTGCCCTGTCTATGGGACCGTCCTACCGGCACAGAGGCCATTTTGGGTATGCCCGTTTAGACTGAAAGTGCTCACCTTGATGGTCCAGTCAGGGCTTTTAATGATGTGTCTGTTTTTCCTTTTTGGCATCAGAGTGAACCAGAAGGGATTTGGTAAGAATGCTTCCCCTTCTTACACACCTTGTGACCCAGTCTTTACCTTCTCTCTGCTCAGTTGTGGTTCAGCTCACCTGGTCTTTGACCTTCTTTGTTCAACCTGTTCCTCAAAGGTGGTCCTTGAGTTTCTGTGGCAGGGTCCTGTGGTCATTATGGCTTGTACTGAAGCTTCTTGGCTCCCTTTCCATGTCCTTATAGGTGGAGGAGAAGAGAACAGTGGAGAGGAGGTGGTCAGAAGGTGACAAATACTCCGAAAGCGCCCTCATCAGAAAGGTGAGAGCATCTTCTACTGCTCCTTGGCTTCAGCAAATTGGGGAGAGGATGGATTGTGGGCTAAGGGCTTAATTGACTAAATGCCAGGGATACCTTTGGATATCCACAGTTTACAAGAGAATACATTTACGCTGGAAGCAGCGAATCTGTAAAGTTAGGCAGACAACTTTTCTGTCTTAATATTTTTCACCAGTTGATAATCCATGAACTGTCAATTAAAGTTAGTACCCAGTTGTGCTACAGTTGTGCTCATATAATCATCATAATCATCATCTTAGAACTGCAAAGCTGGGAAGGACGATATGAGTCACGTACTGTAGCCCAGGCCCTTAAGAAGGGGGCACAGTGGGGAATTGGGCTCCTAGCGGACGTCTCTACAGCCAGATCTCTAAACCACTGAGCAATCCAGAAGTTATGCATGACCGGTGGTTTAGGGGGGCCTCAATGCCAAGGGCCAATAGGCCACGGATTTTTTAAAAATAACTGAAAACCACGGACCAGAAGTTATGCATGACCGGTGGTTTAGGGGGGCCTCAATGCCAAGGGCCAATAGGCCACGGATTTTTTAAAAATAACTGACAGAAAGGATGACTTCATCTGCCACTCTCCGCTGGCTTCCATGCTCCCTCTAAGCTTAGCTGTAATCCTCATAGCAACTGAAGGAGGGGTGGGAATGGAGTTCTCACCAAGAGTGTATTGTTTTGAGCTATTCTGGTATGAATTCAAAATATTTACAGTCCCAGTGTGTGCAACACCTACCAAAGCTCCGAGGATAAAAGGTGTAATTGGATGAGCCCCCCCCCCCCAAATCACAGGAGAGGGCCTTGTACTCTGATTTGCAACAGACTATCCAGGCACAGTTCTCACACTCAGATGTTGGCCCGGCTTTTGCCACCAATGTCAGCAGGCGACAGATGGGGGAGCTACATGTTCTACCCTCTGGAGTTGTGAACAAACTCTCCTCTGTAACCAGACACAGCAATTTTCATGTCCTTTTCCCACCTGCACCAGTGACTTGTAGAGAAGAGTCACATGACCAGCTCACTACACCGATGTTGCTGTCAGAGACAGAAAAGGAATGCCAGCAAGAGCTTGGGGGCTGGCCAAGACTCTGGTCCTGAAGACCAGCTGTCAGCCGGGACACAGTGCTGATTAATTCAACTTTAGTGGCATGCTGTTGCTTTGTTGTTCAGCACACAGTCCACCAGAGGGCACAATAAGCACAGCCTGGAACCAGGAAAGGCATTTTTTAAAGCTTTTCACACAACCGAAGGACACTTCCTTACTGCTCTTAAGTCCGGTAACTTGACAATGCCGGAGCAAAGCTCCATTTTATTTGAAGTGAAAAATCAAGCCACGCATACCACTGGGCTGGAGGTTTCGCATATTTGGGTGTCATAAGCCACCAAGTGGCAACATAAAAGCTGGTCACCTGTAGCTACATCACAGTCTTTGTGAAGTCTTTGCCTGTTTTTGCCAAGCCATGTGACAAAGATCATCGGGCACAAGTGATTTCACTTTCACTGTTGCGATCTCTTTGAAAAGGACGGGGGGGGGAGGGGATTTTAGAGGGCTGATCCAGAGGCTACTAAATGCTGATGCCAACAAACTGAAATGAAAGCTTGGAAAAGTTGCTGTTCTAACTGCTACTCCTAGAACTGCCCAGCCAGCACAGCAGATAGAAAAGTTACTTTTTCCGGACCAACTTCCAGAATCCTCCAACTAGCATAGCTGGTGGCAAAGTTATTCTTTGACACCACCTCCTGGAATGCCCCAGCCAGAATGGCCTGGGAGCCGGAATGAAAGCAAACACGCTTTCTCAAGGGGGTAGCTGTGACCCACCACTAGTAGCTTAGCACAGACCCAGAAGGAAGGAAGGAAGGAAAGAAGGCTTGCTTCCTCGAGCCAACACATGCTCTTAATTAACAGAGCATAAATTGAATCAGCTTCTCTTTCCCAGTGATACAGTTCATTAGGCGAAGACAGATGAGTTCCTTTGCGTTGGCCTCAGCTGCAGCCCAGGGAGCACAGGGGGACTGGCTCATTTCACTCCCTTACGGGGATGAGAAGCCCAGCTGCCGCCAAGCTAAACAGATCCCCAAGGCAGAAGGGTAAACAGCTTCCTGCCTGATTGGTGACAATTATTTGCTGTTCCCTGAACTGACCAAAAGCTCAGGCCTCAAAGCTGTTGATATCTCATATTGCCCAGCAGATCTGCAGCTCAATGGACTGCCTGTTCAGAAGGATGGGATCCAATCCCCATTCATGACAGTTTTTTAGTTTTATATGAGACTTTCATGGGGGTGAAAAGTGGTGGAAGAAACACAATAATTTAAGATATGCAGATGGCACCATCTTACTGGCAGAAAGCAGAAATCGCTTCTGATGAAAATGAAAGAAGTACCAAAGCAGGACGGCAGATGAACATTAAGAAGAGAAATAGGATGACTACAGAAGAGCTAATCAACTATAATGTTTCATTCAATCCAAGTGGAGACTGCAGCCAAGAAGTGGTGGAAGAAACACAATAATTTAAGATATGCAGATGGCACCATCTTACTGGCAGAAAGCAGAAATCGCTTCTGATGAAAATGAAAGAAGTACCAAAGCAGGACGGCAGATGAACATTAAGAAGAGAAATAGGATGACTACAGAAGAGCTAATCAACTATAATGTTTCATTCAATCCAAGTGGAGACTGCAGCCAAGAAATCCGGTTGTTGTACACTTTCATTCAATCCAAGTGGAGATTGCAGCCAAGAAATCCAAAGAAGATTGAGACTCAGAAGGGCAGCAATGATGGAATTAGAAGACCATCTAGTGTAAGGACGTGTCACTAGAGAGCAAGACCAAGATCATCCACACTCTTGTATTTCTGATCACTAGCTATGGGTGTGAAAGCTGGATGGTAAAGAAAGCTGGCAAAAAACCCCACATTTGTTCGAAATATACTGTAGTGCTGGAGTAGAGCTTTGCAGATACTCCAGACTGCGAGAAAGATGAACAAGTGGGTCCTAAAACAAACCAAGCCTGAATTATCTCTGGAGGTAAAATGATGAAACTGAGGCTGTCACACTTGAGCACATCATGAGAAGGCAAGATTATCTGGAAAAGACAATAATGCTGGGGAAGATTGAAGGCAGCAGGAAAAGAGGGAGACCAGATATGAGATGGATTGACTCAGAAGTTGAATGGGACTCAGAAGATAGAACAGGGCATTGTGAAGGTCACTCAATCATAGGGTCACCATAAATTAGAAGTTGAATGGGACTCAAGATAGAACAGGGCATTATGGAGGTCACTCAATCATAGGGTCACCATAAATTGGAGAAAACAACGACAACATATGTAACTATGTGCCAATAGCAACAATGAAAAAATATGTAACTATGTACCAATTCACTTTTAGGAGCAGCTTCTACAATCTACCAGCTGGCTTGTGGATTTTGGCAACTGTAGTCCAAATCCATCCATCCAAGTTCTGTGATCTGTCATGGCAGCAACATATCTTAGAGTCAGTTAGCATAGCAAGAGTTCTGCCAATTCATGTAGAAACTTTAGCTAACAAATCCTTAGTAAAGGATTACTCTCACAACCATTATTTAGATGAGTCCACAATATATAAGAAATGGCAGTACAGCCCTGTTGAAAGTTCAAACTTATATCCTCAAATATTAAAATTAATCTACTTCTGTTCTGTGGTATCCTCCATGCGCAATATATCCCGTTAATAACATTGCCACATTTCAGAGTCCTGGCTGAAGTCGCAGGGAATTGTTGAGTTTCTGTGGGTCTCCAGGCAGGAGCACAAATCTCAGGGCAAGGAACCATAATGAAAAAGACAATTTAATTCTAATGTGCTTGGATAAATATCACCCACTCTTCCCTTGCTAGGGTGACTCCATGTGAAGGTGTTCATGTGCATGTTGCTTCTAATTGTGAAATGGGTCCACGTGGATGTACTCAAGGGGTTCTCTCTTCAGTCCCTTCCTCCTGACCTTTTGTGTGCTGAGACTGTATCCACTGTACCATTTGGAACAAGGCAGGAACAAGAGCATCAGTGGCATGACTCATGAGCTTTCTTGTTGACCAATTCCTGGTAGCAGCGACTCAAAGCCTGGGAGAATATGCATTCCTTCCAACTCTTATCTAGGATATCATAAGACACCACTATGTGTCAGCCCCTAAATTTAGGTTTTCGCCTTGAAATCTCATGGAATGAGATGTTGTTGACCTATCAACCTGACGCAATAAAGTTTTAATTATTATATATTATTTCTTTCTTTCTAAATCCCATTGCTTTCATGCTACTGGGGAAACCAAACTGACATAATTATAGAGCCTTATGGGAAATGAGTTAGGGACATGGTGGCATTGTGGGTTAAACCGTACTGACATAATTATAGAGCCTTAAGGGAAACGAGTTAGGGACATGGTGGCACTGTGGGTTAAACCGCAGAAACCTCTGTGCTGCAAGGTCAGAAAACCAGCAGTTGTAAGATCAAATCCACATGGCGGAATGACCTCCCATCGCTTGTCTCAGCTCCTGCCAACCTAGCAGTTTGAAAGCATGCCAATGCAAGTAGATAAATAGGTACCACCATGGTGGGAAGGTAATGGTGTTCCATGTCTAGTCACACTGGCCATGTGACCACGGATACTCTACGGACAAAGGGCTGGCTCTACAGCTTGGAAATGGGGATGAGCACCACACCCTAGAGTTGGACATGACTGTACTAAATGTCAAGAGGAACCTTTACCTAATGGCGCTTCTCCCTCTTAATGCCCCATATATGCTACCTAAGCCTAGCCAAGCTTTTGGCATTTCCAGAAGAACATCTCATATATGACTCCTAAAGACATGGTAGTAAAAGCTAAGGTTGTAGCTAGGGTAGAGCAACCAAGACTTTGCTCTCACATACCAAATTTAGAGAGCACATCCCTCTCCCAGACTTCCAAGATTGAATCAGCAGCCTGGTCTCCCGCTGTAGGAGGAAAAATAAGAGATGGCAGTAGATCCTGCCTCCAGGGTGAACTGGAAAGGTGGTTCGTATACCAAGCCCTGTTGAGCCAGTGGAGGATAGGTATAAGGGCTCAGTAGACCCAGGGCAAGCCTACATGAACCTTGATAGACCAGGCCTCTAGGCTGGACAGTTCAGAAAGTCAGCTTATTAACATTAAGCTAATCTGAAACTGACTCTCACTCTCTCTTTCAGTCTTTCTTTTTCTGACATACCTTTAGTTTGTTTCTGTACTCTGGACAGTGTTGCTGATCCCTTGTGGTGCAGGGGAGATGTTAACAAAGTGTCTGGTGCTGTAATTCTTGTATTATATTCACATCATTAATTGTTATGTTGATTTGGTGGCACATTTTGTCCTGCTTGCCTTGGGTGCCAGAACTGCTAGTGACAGCTCTCTTTAAAGCATCTGAATAATAGACTGGTAACTAATTATTTGCTGCCATTTCACCATAACGTAGAACTTGCTGCCTAAGGTGGCTGCCTCACTTTGCCTCATGGTGGGCCTGGCCTTGTCTTCTGTATGTTCCAGATGTCAAACACCAGAACAGAAGCTGGAATGTCTTAAAAGCCAGCATGGCTGTGAGGTGTAAAGACCTGATGCCCAGGACAAAGGCCAGTAGGGCTCTCCTGGTTGCTCACAACAGAAGCCCTCGTCTCTTGCTTCTCTGTCAGGCCCTTCAGCTCCCTTTGGTAAAGAAGTAAAGACTTGTTGTTCGTTTCCTCCTTGGCCCACCCACACAGGTGTGTCTCCTTGGAAACAGGTTTCTCAGTCTTTAATTTTCCTTCAGTCTATTTTCATCTGCAATGAAATGCCAAGGAGATTAATTCTTGTTTGGAGGAAGGCAGGTGGTCCTCTTTTGAAGGAGAGAAATATGGAATATTGAATTACCCACAGACAATTAACAGTGTAGGACTAGCTGTACATTCAGCTGATCTGATGTGGGGCCTGCCTTGATACTGGAGGAGCTACAGGTCTCCCACCTCTAGTGGATTACTCTAAACTCTAGCTGCATTTGCAGCTTTTCCATTTTGTTCTGAGTGTGCATATCCCTTATTGTTTGTTTGTTAGTTAAGGTCTTAAACATTCAAGCAACACTAGTGTTCAGCTGTTAAAAGCACAGGATGGAACAATAAATCAGGAGGCTGCAGGCAGCGAGCACAAACTATTCCCTGTGCAGAGAACATTGTTCTGACTCGTACACTTGATGCTTATTAAGCAGGTGGGTGAACTGAACTCACTGTGCTGGAGGGACTAGTTTGGCAGGCACGTACATTTAAGTGGAATGGCAGAGTGGCAAACCTGTGAAGTCCCTGGTTTATATCTATTCTCTGCTGGGATTTCATGAGGGAACCTTAAGTCAAGGTTTTTCCCTTCACTGCCACATCCCCATGTGCTGAATGGGTATAATTATGCTGACCCGGCTTACAAGAATAAGAATCCCTGCAAAAGAGCTTCTTCCACTCCAATAAGGCCCCCAGGAAAGGCTGTGGTGAGTTTTACTGCCAAGCAAAGTGAGATGCCTGCCTTTTGGCTCCTGGCTTGGGGTGGTATAAAAATACAGTAAATTACTAGGAGTAGGCTTTTTGCATTTTTGGCCTCAAGTGAAAAGAAAAGGGGAAAAAAAGGGAAAAAAGACCTCTCCCCAATTAGCCAGCTTTGGGTTGTGCACGTTGGCCAAGAAGAGAGCATTCCGTTTGCTGATCTGCCTCCAGTACCCCACTTTCTTGGATCAATGCTGGTTAATGACACAATGCATGTAGAGCACATTTAATGCTTTAAAATGCTACAGAAATCTCATTTAACAAATCCCACCACAATAGTGTCTAGAATTGTGTTGTTTAGTGTAGTAGGACCATTTAATTACTCTCCCGTAAGTTCCATTGATTCAAACGAGTCTAGTGCAATTATTGTCCTAAGCAACAGGATTTCAGCCATTAATACTGTTTTAATTTAACTGCTCATGCAAATGGTCAAGCCAAATAGATTATTAGCCACGTCTACTTACTGTGTAACATTGCTTCATCTTATGCAGCCAGGATAGGTGCCTTTTAGAACAGAAGGAGTCGAACATTAAATGAGAAGTCATTCAAGCATCCTTCCATGGGGTGAGGTGGCTACAACATAAAAAAAATAACACAACTGATCAAAGCACAAATTCTGCACATCTTGGGGAGTGGGAGATGACTACTACATATGAGTTAGCTGCTCTTTTGTTTCAATTAGGAGAGAGGGAAATCTCCCCAGAAGAATCCAGGGGACAAGGCTTGCACCATGACCGGAAGAGAACGGTCAGAATATGTGCGATGGAAGAAAGAACGGGATCAAATTGACTTGGAGCGCCTGGCACGCCACAAAAATGCAAAAGGAGAATGGCGTCGGGCTTGGGATGCAGAAAAATCAGAGCGCATGTAGGTTACCATCCACACAATCTGATTACAGTAGCCTGTGCTAAGAGGGCAATACTAGGTATAACATCCCAGTGGGATAAAGCAGATAAGAAGCAATATCTCTAATGACACTCTTGGGGCAATGTGTTTTATGTGGCTTGGGCTTGCGAGAGAAAGAGGAGAGTACATCAGTGTGTCTCCATCTCAACAGATGAATCAGATTTCATGACCAGCTGGGGAGCCATTATAATGGCAGGTATATGCAACTAATAGAGGAAGGAGAGTTCTCAAGTTCTTTAGAAAAGAGCCTTTTAAAAGACATCAAAACTTACTTTCCTTCTGGCAGGAAGCCAGTCCGATGTATTATTAAATGACTTTCTGCCAAGAAGCCAGTCTCCCTGTATTAGTAAGTGACCTCCAGGCCATCATTCTAAGGAGGTATGGGGTTGTTTTTTTTTTTGCAATCAGAGCTTGGTAAAGTTATCTTTTTGGACTACAACGCCCAGATTCCCCCAGCCAAAAAAGTTAATTTTTCCAAAGTTTTTGTTACACAAACCAAGTGGATTTGGCTAGGGAGATAAGAAGTTCAGCTCATGAAACTGGTTAGGCACCTAGAAAATTCAGAACAGACAAAAGCATGTACTTTCCACAAAATCCAGAGTTAACCTGTAAGTTGGAAGTGCACAGTACTATAGTTGCCACTGCCATTGATGCAGTTTCATGGAGGCATGATAGTGAAACGGAATCTCTATGTTCAAAAGCAGTGTACCTCTGAAAGACTACTGATAGAAAAACAGAATAGGGGAGATTTGTTGCCTTCCTTGCACCCTTGTAAATTTTTCAGGAGCATCTGATTGACCATTATCAGAAACAGAAAGCTGGCCTAGAACCAGCAATCCCCAACTTTGGGCTTTCGGACATTGTTATAGTATTATTTCTGTCACCCGAGCCTGGATCTTGGCAATTGTCAGGAGCTGGGGGTTGGTGGGCACTGCAGTTCTACAAAATATGGAGAACCAAGATTGGGACCCCTTGAAGATACCAACAATTGTCTGATCCAGTGGGGTTTTCTTTTATTTTTTTAATAGCAAGATTTCCTAAATACTTTTGCTTTAATCATCTGTGTATGTTAGTTAGGCTTTTTGGAAGAAGGAAAACAGTGAAGGTACAAGAGAGAGAAGTTAATACAAAGCTATTTGTTAATAATAAACGAGGTTATAACTTTTAAAATAGACTATTCTATTGCTTACCTGATGGAAACAATCTCAGACAAAGGGTAATTTCATGTCATTCGTATATGTCAAAATCCATGTGAACAAACTTCACAGTAGTCTTTCCTCGTGGTTTTACTGCTAAAAGTTTATTCGTCCTCTTCTCATTTGCAGGTTTGAGGATACTAAGGATGGGGAACTAGCCTTGGATGGCCCCCACAGTAAGAAAGGTCAGAAAATGGACTTGATGGTTTCTTGATCCCCTTATATTGATGTTAGTTCTGATGGATTTTTTTTTTTAATTTCCATGTTATTTTTGGATAAGGAACAGTTCCAAGCAGAGTTAAAACAGAAATAAAACAATCATTTGTGTTCTGCAGTATTTAAAAAAATGTATAGCATATCTTGCTTACGTGTTTGGCTCACATTTGTGTTTTATTAGATTCCTTTGAGTTGGGAGACATTTTCTGCAGGTCCATTCCAATCGTATATAGTAGCTAGCACAAAAACAAGTTCAAACAAGTTGCCTTCATAGGATAGACTTAGAACATATCTGTGGTAACTATGTTCAAACTTGGAAAGTTTCCTATTTAGAAAAAAGACAAGATATACTGTACAATGCCCAAATTATGTGTTAATTTGTCCCCCCCAAAAAATCAATTTATTACATTATATTGAAAATATATTTGAAGGTGATATTTCAAGCAAGCTTGAAATTTTTGTACTCGGCATGTACAGTATACATTGTACAAAAATGTGTTGTCAACCTCCCCACACAAACATTAATATTATACTAAATACATTCTCAGTTTGCTTTGCCCCATTTGTACAGGTTTTCTTGTCAGGTGATGGAACCAGCATAGCATTTGTCTTCTAGGTATATACACCAACTGGGTGCCCTCTGGATGTGTTGAACTACAACTACCATATACAATCCATCATGACTAGACCACAGCACCTATAGTCCCCAGGCAACCTGGTCATTGGCTGTGTCAGCTGGGGATGACTGAGGCTATGTTCCAGCACTACTGGATGGGGCAAGATGAGGGAAGATTACAGTACATTCCTTTGAACTGTCAGAGATGGCAAATTGTACTGTGCTGGGGTATTTTTTTTTTAGAGGGATGAGACAGTGGAGGACTGTGGCATAGAACCTTTCACAATCCTACTGTTTTTCATGCTTTGTTCTTTCAAGGGGGGAAAAATACCCGGAAGCCCCAGCATCGACCAATGCCTTCTGATGGAAAAGGTGAGCACAACCTGGGAACAATTCAGTTTGGCTGTAATGTACAAGTGTACTTTCTTTTCACAGCAGTTTGTGAACAGACAAGCATGCTTTTCTCCAAGACCAAATATGAGAATGGTTCCTCTTTCTTAATACTACATCTCCTAGAATGCCACAGGCAGTGTATCATCAAGAAAAGAGAGTAACTTTTCCCACCTCTATCAAAATGGGAATGGAGATATTGCCACACTGTCAAACATCTACACAATCCCCAAAAGAACAAAGACATGGGTGGGTCTCAGACAACAACAACAAAAGTATCATTTTGATCAGCTGTTGGGAAATACTATTAAAATCTACATTTGTTAGGATTCTGAAACTTCTCCTTTTTTGTTCATTTTTCTAAATAGTCACTATTTAAGGCCCAGAGTAACTACCATTTGGTAGCAAAATAAGAAATAATTCTGTTTTTTTCAGACTATCTTTCATGGATTTCTGGTTGCTTCTCTTTCCTATACTTATATTGCTCCTGCTGCTATACCCTTCTGTGAAAGCACAATTTGATGGAGAGATTTGCAATACTGACGTCAAGAAGGAATTATTACTCTCCCCCCCCCCCACCGGAATTTATTAAGCCTGTGCAGACTTGGTTTTTTCCCTGTGGAAGCATAGCTGGGCTAGCAGCCAAGGAGAAAGCTGCTGAGCATCACAACAGAAACCATGAATATTTAGCAGCACAGTGGGTATGGGATTGTAGGAGAGGCAATGTGGTTGCTGTACTGGATCATAATTTTCAGGCTGACGTCAAAAGAAGGTGTAACCCCAGAAACACTGCTGGGCTCAGTAGAAGAAATGGATAGTACAAGAAGGTGGCACTGCCTGGGTTTTGTAGCTGAAAAGTACACACAGAGAGAGGTAAGGCAAAATGGCTATAAGAATGATGTTTGGATAACCAAAGTTATTGGTAAGGAAAATACCTAGGTGACTAAAAAAACTGCTGAAAATCATCACCCTATGGTTTGACTTTGGAAATTTAGTTGTGATGTTTATAACTAGCCACAAAACTCCAGTTGTTAGTTGTGAGATGCTCAAGCAACATCTTACCTAGGTAGTACTGACTAGAATCAGACCTATTCAGTGTCAGAAAAGGATATTGTAGCACAGCTATCTCTAGAGGTTTTCAGGGGACTCCTGTCAGCCCTAGCCAACCTAGTTAACCTGGAAATGTTCTGGAAGTTGTAGTCAAAATATTACACCCTAAAAGTTGATGTTCGTCTTCTTCAACAAGTCTTCCTTCTCACCTCCTAGTTGCGATTCATTAATTCTGAACTTCATTGCTCTTGGGCACTGATTCAATCACGGAGCTTGAGCCTGTAAAATAAAACTATCCTCATGGCCTGTTCCAAGATATTTTGCTGCCTGATGCAAAGATGATGCCCTCGCTCCCATTCCACATACAAAAGTTGTTTGGAACACTGGCCAAATCTTACTTCAATACTGCCAATGGAATGACATTCTCAATCACATCTGCACAGTGCTTTGAAAGATTACTCTTTTTTTAGACTGCAAGTTTCAGAACATGCCAGTCCAGTCGTAGTACAAGAAAGTAACTTTTCCTGATATAATAATAGGATTATTTAGGGAATGAGGGCAGGCTATGTATCATACACAGTCCTGTCCTCAGAAGAGAGGAGTGGTCAGGAAGCTCAGGAAGAGCAGTCAGAAAACTACTTCTGCTGCCCTTCCCTACAGCATTCACTACCTGAGATGGTTGCCTTACTTTGCCTAATGGCAGGGCCGGTCTTTGTTGCTTTGTCCTAATGCAAGATGGACCCTGCTTCTATCTCTGTGTATAGCAGGGATAAGCAACCTGAGTGTGTCTAGAGGCGGGCCACATGGAGCTCAGAAATGTCAGGACATGTCTTGATTTTTATTTAAAAAATGGAAAGATTGAAACCCGAAGTGCTTGGACATCCCCTTCTCTTTCAGGGTTACAATTTTGTGTAAAAACTGCTGCTACCAGAAAAGTTCAGGAATGGGAAAGCGCATTCTTTATAGGGGGCTATAAGAGCTTTGAAGCAACATGAGGCCTACACTTTGCCCACTCTTGATGTGTAGCATGTTTTCCAGGTGGAGGACAACACAGAAGAAGCACAAGTGAGTCTGCTTCTAGAACCCTGCCAGTCACGAGCAGTAAAGCCAGAGGGAAGGACAGATTGACTGGCAGAGCTAGAAGGTAAGAGAACTGCAATAGATGGAGTGTTGCAGCCTCATGAAAATATTCTCTGCCTCATTTGAAAACAGAATTTGGGTGCCTCTTCTGAAACTGAGTTTCAGCAGGAATTAGTAATCTTTATGTATTTGTCTATTTTTAAACACACTGCTTAATGACTTAGAATAATATCACAATTGAGATTAGTAAAGATAATGCATGCCTGGAAATCATGCAATGAGCATTTCCAGTATTTCAAAGTATAATGGTTTTGTGATGTTTGTTTACTTATTTAATGTGTTCCTGCCCTGCCTTTCAGGACACATTGCCTTCATAAAGTAGCTTACAAAAAAAGAGAAGGCTTAAATCATAAAAAGCAACAACACGTAATATATACTATAAAATATGATTCAAAGGTAAAGAGTAGATTCATTCCAGCAATGAATCAAATGCAGTCTATCTTCTTTTTAAAATACAGTTATTTTAAAAGCAAGCAATGACATTGGTGAGCCACCTTGAAACTGGAGGGGCCATAACTGAGAAGGTCATATCATTGGTGCCTGCTGATCAAACAGTTCTTATTGGCAAGTCTGAGAGTAAAGCTGTTAGTACTTATTTTGTAGTGAAAGTAGGCTCATATGAGTGCACGTGGTACTTCAGATAAGCCGGCACTAAACAATTTGAAGTTTTAACGGTCAAAACGGCTGATGGAGGCATGAGAAAGGGCCTTCACTGTGGCAGTTCCCATGCCATGGAATGCTCTCCCACAGGATATCAGGCTGGCCCCCTTCCCTTTTATCCTTCCGCTGACTTGTACTGCAGACAAAACTGTGCTCACGACCTGGGGTTCAATCCCAGGTAGCCGGTTCAAGGTGGACTCAGGCTTCTATCCTTTCGAGGTCGGTAAAATGAGTACCCAGCTTGCTGGGAGGGGCAATGTATAGCCTGCATAATTAACTTGTAAACCGCCCAGAGAGTGCTTGAAGCACTATGGGGCGGTATATAAGTAGCACGCTTTTTGCTTTGAGAGCTGAAGACTCATCTTTTCAGGTAGGCTTTTAACAATCATGTTATCAGTCCCTGACTACCTTTTGAAGTTAAGATATTTTTTCATATATATGTGCTTTTTATTCAATTGTATTTTAATTAGCATATAATTTTTTAATGTTTAACTTATGTTCTTAATTCTGTTCTTTTTAATATTGTAAGCTGCCTTGGGTCCCCTTATCAGGAGGAAGTTGGCCTATAAATAGAACAAACAAACAAATAAAATAAAACCAGTACCTTAAATTGCACTTCAAAACCACCAGCCAGCCAGTGCAACTGAATACAGAATGAGTGTAATCTGATGCTAGTATTTGTCTCTCACTTGTATTGCAGCTGTTGTATTCTGCACCACTTGTAATTTCCAAGCCACCTTCAAGGGCAGTCTCCCATACAGCACATTATTGTAGTCTAGCCTGACCTTGGCTTGGTATCATTAATGAGAGAGGTGGGGTTGGGTTGGGTTGAGTTAGGCTGACCTTTTCAAATTATCTGAGAAATATTCTGGCAATACAATACATTTAAGATTAAAATTAGCCTGGAGAAAACATTGCAAGTCAGATCCAAAAGGAAGATTGTAGTGGGGAAAAAGGAAAGCAAGTGAGGGACAATATTTACCTACCAGTCAAAAGAAGGACATTCTACATGCAGAGAGGGAGAAATGGACACTGGAGGAGGGACCAAGTCATGTCAGAGAAAGTATTGAGGTGCAGCTATACTCTCTGTAATCCTCCAGCCTGATAAGTATGGTCCATAGAGGCAATTACAGTTTTCTGTCCCAATCGAAATTAATGTCCCACTAGCCCTCTCTAGAGCGCATGCACATGCCTTCATATCCCCTTCCACCATCTCCAGTACATGAAGTTTCTGATGCATTGCTTTCACAGAAGCAAGGGTCTGTTCCTTAAAAAGTCACTAATTACAATCTCTGTTGGAGTTGGTTGGTAACTACTAGTTTCAAGAATAGACTATATCACCGAGGGAAATATATATAAATTCCCCAAGGCAACAATTCAAGGAAGCTGAATGCAAAAACATAAGTATATGTACTTTCTCTGGAATATACAGAGAACACGGGTTCAGCCATATGAGTGATTCTCTGTCAGTTCCGTGGCTATTATGAAATGGCAATCTTCAAAAAGTCTAATGGAGTGCAGCAGTTGTTTCATTGACATTAGCTACAATCAAGTTTATATCACTGATTATAAACTACAGTATGCATATGTTGATTTGTTCCAGTTTATGCTGTCTTAGAGGAACTCCCTCTTTTAAAAAAAAGAAATGGAACCAGTAGCTCTGCATCCTTATTGGAAGAGCCATAGTTTGATGGTAGACCACATGTTTTGCATGCAGGAATTCACAGTTTCAGCCATCAGCGTTAAGTGGTCTGCTGAAAGCAAAGCTCTCCAAGGCTGGTGCTGAAGGCCAAGAGAGCCATTGTGAGTTAGGGTGTGATCAGAAGAGGAAAGTGCTTGCATTCTTTACTGTCTGTGGCCCAGTTCAGTGTGATCTACTTTTGATGATCACAGGACATACAGCAAGAGCATTACAGCCTGACCCCAGCCCATGCCCAAGCTGAATCTTTTTGCTTCAGCTACTCTTTTCAGGAGCTGGGCTGGAGTGATTCCCACACAGGCAGAAGGTTTGCTTTAAGGGAGATCACTTCCAGCAAAGTGACCCTTTCTGGTGCTATCAGACACAATAATTTCTCAGAGAGGAATGGTCTACAGAGACCAATGGTCTGATTCCACAGAAAGTATCAGTTCTGACAGTCTAAGGTGCAACTCAGCAGCTCATTCAGAATCTCTGATTACAAAACTAGAAAGAAATAATTTGTCAGTGTCACCTTGTAGTTCAAAGTGTTGAGAGATCCAGGTTTGAGAACTCTCTGAGCCACGAAACTCACTGGATGACTTTAGACTAGTCATTGACTTTCATCCTGATCTACCTTACAAGGTGGTTCTTGTAGATATACAAGCCACATACATCACCCTGAGCTCACTGGTGGAAAGATAAGGTACAAATAAAACAAATAATTAATTCAGAGCTTGGAGGAGTAACTTTTCTAGATTTTAACACCCAGAATTCTATAGCCAGCATAACCACTACACTGGCCATTCTGCCTAGGTGATTCCACAAATTGTAGTCTAAAAAGTAACATTCCCAAGCTCTAAAATATAAACAAACAAGAAAGAATCATAGCTGCTGTTTTTTTGTTGTTGTTGCTCAGACTTGACAGCTGAGAACTTTGAATAGCACATATTCCATACCCCACTCTTTTTAGCAATCAGAATGCAGCATCACATATAGTTGCTTTGCAAAATCCAAAGTCCAGCCTAAGGCATCTGTTCACAGTTTGTTCTTCAAGTGCCCTGGCTTTATTGCCACCTGCCTGATGTGACATTTAATCTTAAAAATGTCCTCAGGTGGACAATAAAGCAGCTGCAATGTATTGCCATGGCCACAGCAGGAGCATTCCACTGATATTGCGACAAGCCATCATTAGGCATGAGAAGTGGGATTTGTTCCAGGAAAGCAAATGTTACTGTTGGGTTTCTGTGGCCATTAGATGTTGTCCAGTTATTCTACATGTTCCTGCTTGCCTATTTTATTTTATTTTAATCATTTGTATGAGTAACATGTTAAAGTAAACAAAAATAAAATACAGTTACTCAAGAGAATTATAAAACATTTAAAACAAGCACAACAGTCACAAAATTACAGGATATTTCTTAAAAACAATGTTATTCCAGCAAAAACAACAAAGAGACCTGTAGCATCTGAATGACTAACATGTTTTTTTTTTGGGGGGGGCATAAACTTTATGGGTTCCAGTCCAGATCCAACAAAGAGGGCTATGCTAATAAAACACATTACTGTAGTCTTCAAGGTGTCATAAGCCTATTTGTTGTTTATTCTAGAAGAGAAGCTTCCAGAGTGGGTTGAATACCAGTTACAATTTATTGGAGATACTTTGCCCATGGCCATGTGCTCAGGCTGAGCCCCATCCTCTTATCAGTGTCTGTATTACCAGTATTGCTGCTCCTCATGTGTCAGCCCATAGATGAGTTGTTATAAATAGTTCACTAAATACTACATTCAAATACATTTGGTTAGATTTGTAAGCTCATTATCAATTACTGCTATTTTAGAAGAGCGTAATACGGTAATTGACCTAATTCCCCAATAACTCTTGCTGAAATAAAAACAACTATGAAAAAGCTTAAAAATGGAAAAACACGAGGATGTGATGGCTTCACAGCTGATATGGGAATATTTTGTTGCCATAAACCTTTTAAAGATGAATAATTCAATATTAACTGGAGAGTCCTGGAAATTATCCAGAATAATAGCCATGCTGAAATCAGAAAAAGATCATACTCTCCGATCTGCATATAGGTCAATTACAATATCAAGTTCATTTTTCCCACCTATTTTGGCCCAAAGGTTGAATAGTTTTATTACAAATTAATCCACAGAGATCAATATGGCTTTATGTCAGATAGACAGATGTCTGAGACAATTCATAGACTACTAAATATTGTACTTATGGCTGCTCTAAAGAAACAGAAAGTGGCAATACTTTCACTTTATGTGCTGAAAGTGTTTGATTGCATGGAATGGAGGTATATGTTAGACCTTATGGAAATATGGGGAAACAGTTACTATGGTTTAGCATACTTTTATTTATTGAGAATCTATTTAAAAGTATAGAACCATTAAAATAAATATTTGAAAAATGCAGAACCCTTTAAGAGTGGTCTTAACTGACCAGNTGTGTGTGTGTGTGTGTGTGTGAGAGAGAGAGAGAGAGAGAGAGAGAGAGAGAGTATACATCTTTGTTTCTCCCATTTCTCCAATACGGTCCTTTTTTAATATTCTAATTTTAAATTTCAAGATAAAGATGCATAATTTAAATACTGAAAATAAATTGGAATTTATAGGATTGGATATTTATTTATAAAAGGAAAACAACTTCA